TAAGTGTTAGCTACTGGGCTAAAACAGGAGAGAAATTACAGAGTCATTTGCACCGTATCTGGTATGCCTGTAACATAAATTGGTCTACCACGATGAGTTAGGCCACAAGTCAGTTCTGGTTGGTTTAGAACATACTTCTAAGTATGTTCTACTTAGAAGACATCTAGCATTGGAGTAGAAATCACATCTGGAATACATTGGTACATCGTTTGATTGGTTAACAAAGCCTTTTGTTAAGATACATTTTGTTTGAATATGTCTATAGGTAAAGCAATTGTAAAAGCAAGAGGTGTCTTAGGTTGAATTACTGTTGGGGCTTTGAGGGGAAGAGCTAAAACTATTAGTTCTTCATTGTAGTTTACTGAAATGATAACTGGAAAAATTAATAGTACAAGACTTGTATGTTGTCTTAACCTATAATAATTAAAAATTCTTGTCTTTGTTGTGATTTTTTAATCAGACCTCTAGGTATACATTCATAACAGAATTTTTTTTAAAACCATATTAATTTTGTGTTTGCTAACTCCAGTTTTGTCCTTGGAGGTAATAAGAAGGAACATCTTGTGGTACTGGTGGTAAAGGTAGATCTTGTGTTTGGCTTTGAGGTCTCCTAGTTAAGGCTAAGGGGGCAAAATTCCTTGGATTCTGGGTTGCTATTGCTTGTTTCACCGCGTGGTGGGTCGCGCTTTGCTTGGAGTTTAACGGTAGGCGATTACTATCTATATCAAATTTAGAATGACAATTTCTTGCATAATGTTTCCCTTTTTGATATTGAGGACTAGCAGAATGTATTCTTCAGATTTTATTATTGGATCAGGGTAAGTCTTTATCACATGACTAGGCTTCTCACATCTGAAGCACGACTTTGTAGTAGAATTTCATTGAACAGTAGCAAGAGTTTTTAAAAAAAGTCTTATTTGTTCTTCAATTGCTTTTTAAACTTTGTTCTTTAGTGAATCATGAGATTTAGTAATTTGCTCTCTAAAGGCATTAGCTTGTACTGTAGCAAGATACTGTGGAGTGCTAATTTTACTGTAAGTTGAAAGCATTTGAGTGAGAGTTGGAGGCTGTTTGGGTAATGTAGAAATAATTTTTTTGCAATCATCATTTGCATTTACAAATGCTAGGTTTTGGAGACTATAAGAATATAAGAGCTGCTTTATCAGGGTGTTGTCTTTCAACAGCTTGTGTTAACTTATCTAAAAATGTACCATATGATTCATTTGTTCTTTGTGTCATGGTCGAATATGCTTTAAGAGGAGTACCTGTTGATTTGACAGAAATGAAAGTTTTTCTTGCAGCTTGTTTAATTTCTCTCAGCACTGACCTAGGAAAAAAGTTTCTGTGTCTGGTTTATCATATGGCAGTTTGCTGGACAATTTAGCTTCTGAAAATTTTTCATATGTACTACTGACATATTTTTCCCTTAAAACCTTAATAAGTATCTTCTGCTGGAGTTCTCATAACATAAATTGTGAATTAGTTAAAATCACTCTTGCCACAATGCGATAATCAGTTGGCATGAGTTCATAAGAGTAAAAAAATACTTTTTAACACATAATTAAAATAAGGAGAATTAATTCTGCTTTCTTTCAAAGTTTGATTTCACTCATTAATGTTATTATCATGGTTTGACGCTGGCACAATGCCAGTGCCCCCATGAAATTCAATCTCTCAATTGAATGCTGTAATGCAATCAAGAACAGAGCAAAGCAGGCCAAAGCTTAATAACAAGGAAAAAACTTTATTAAGCTACTACTATAAAAGGGAAAAAAAAGAGAAGAAAAAAAAACCACCCAAAGATCAAAATGAAAACCTTGCAAAGTATTCTTCCTCCCACCACCCAACTCCAGCAAACCACGGTGAGACACAATCTGGACCCCAATCAGGTTTCAACCCTGCAGACAATCGATACTCAGTCCATCAAGGGAGAACAGGAGTCTCCTCTGTGCCGCAGACCCCCCAAGAAACACACTGCCACATCCTGTGTTTCCTGTGTCACACAAGGCACCGCCCGGAGAAGAAGTTTGCCATGGTGACCCTTCTCCTTTCCATGCACAGTGCTCTCACCACCAATGCATAGATGGACAGACTGCTTTTAGGATTTTTCCTTTCAAGGATGCCTGCCAGGAGGGGGAAAAACAACAGTTCAGTTTTTCATTTTTTGGGACCACAGTCCCCCCCCATTTTCCCCTGGGGCCGAGGGTCCAAGAACAGAGATCTTCTTCTCTTCTCCTTCTTTGAGGACAGGGGACACCACCACAAACCCCCTAACTCTTCTCTGTTCGCTCCACTTCTGTCTTTTCCCAGCTGAAGCCGGTCTCTTGGCTCACTGGCATCCTCCTAAAATACAGTCTCTCTTGAAAGAGAAAAATCGGTTCAGTCTATGGCCAACAAGGAAAAGTCCAGACAAAAAAAACACTCCTCATCTCCTCCCACCTCAGATTTCTCCTTCTAACATCCCAGGGTCCAAGCTGTCTCTCTTGCTCTCTTTCAAACCGAGGAGGAGTGAAATTTCACCAAGCTTTCATTTCTCAAGGAAGGGTTAAAAGTCCCGACTCCCAGGGCTGGCTCGATGCCCAGGCTCCGGCTCCCACAGGCAGCTGGGCACCTTGCGGCCCCCTCGCTCTTCTCCTTCCCTGCGGCGTACTGCTGATGCTGATAAAACCACCGCTGTCTCTTTCTCTCTCTCTCTCTCTCTCTCTCTCGACTCTGGGGGGAATGGAGACATCCCAGATTTCTCCACCCTTCCATCTGCAGGGGCCAGCCCAGCTCCAGTCCCTCCACCCTTGGGCCCACCTCAGCCAGGCCATGGACCTTCCCCTCCCCACCCAGCCACGGCCGGGCAGGGGAGAGTCCTGCACTGCACGCTGACCGGAACCAAAGAGAGCCAGTTCTCCTGGGAATTCTGCTTTTAACCCCTCTGTGTTCTCAGAGGTGTGTCCACCTTCAATTGGTCAATATCCAAATTGACCTCTTCCTGCCGAGAAAATTCTTTTTCCATGTCAAACAACAACAGTTATAATGTGAGAGTGATTAATACATAGGCCTACTATTATCCCTCCCATAAGCGACTGGCATTGCTAAAATTTGTTCATTTAAAAACTTAAAATCTTCTTTTTTACAAAAGATGCAACCCTATTTTTTTCTAATCAGATGTTGCTACATCATGTTCTGAACTAGGCAGATTATTTTTGTAGCAACTGAGTTCTGTGAGAAATCTGTCTTGGTTTCTAGACACTGTTCTGGGCTTTCCACTGAAAGAAGTCTCAGCTTGGTTCCTTAGTAGTTTGTTACTATAGCAACTCACAGTCTCAGTTTTATAAGTGTTTAAATTTTCCTTAATGATTTAGATCCTGATTTTATGATCCTGATTTTGCTTATTATTTTAAAATTTCCCAACATTTCCCAAAATTATGTCTACATTCTAAAGACATCTTACACTTTAGAAAGATTTTTACCTTTTTATATGCGTAAACACTTGTGGGCCCATCTGAAGCAGAAAGCCTGGGAGGGGCTGGAGGGTGTGCAGAGAAGGACACGGGAGCTGGGGAAGGGTGTGGAGCACAAGGCCAAGGAGGAGGTGCTGAGGGAGTTTCAGCCTGGACAACGGGAACCTCCTGAGGGACCTTCAGGCACATTTCCATGGTTCCATACATGACCGTGCTCACCACCAGGGCTGTTCCCCTGCCACACATGCTTTCACTGCATCCCAGTACTTTAGAGGCGGTGTCAGTAACACTCCCTGCTTGTTGTTGGTTGCATTTTTTTTTTTGCTGGTTTAGTAGAGGAAAATTCTTGTTGATTTTCTCATTTTCCAACAAGCAAAGATGCTTCTGCAGCATGTTTCATGCCCTTTTCCAGCACTGGATGAGATTCAGATCCATTTGTAGGTTTCCATGTCTGCAGCAGGAATAGCAAAGGTGTAGCTGTCTCTTTCTTTCTTTTCCATTTCAGAGCTTTCAAAAGCTAAAAGCTCTGCATTCCTGAGACTACCCTGCTTGCTGATGGCAGACAGGGAGGAATATCAACTACACATCTATATGCAGTTCTGTTGAATTGGCACATTTAAATCTGATTGATGTGCCTTAGAATCCCATCGCTCTAAAATTTTATGATTTCGCCTTGGAAGATGTGGTGTTAGATGTGAGAAGAAAGGAGGTTATAAATGATAGGTAATGGCTTGTCCCACATGCTTCTCTCTTGCCCCAGACCACACAAGCAGCATCAGTGTCTGCCCCAGCTCCCTCTGCTCCTGGAGAAGATGAAGAAGAGCAAATTGAACAGTATGACCACGAAGCTTCATCAGTGGTCACACCAGAGCCTGAACCTTCTGAGCCAGTAAGTGCCAGTTTTGGGTGGTGCTGTCTTTAGTGCAAGGGAGAGCTGCAAGTTTCGCTTTTGCATTTCAGAGCTTTCAAGATTTAAAAGATCAGTTACACAAGTAGATCATTGCTACCTGATAGTAGGAAGGGTGGAATATTTAAATCAGAGCAATTTGCATTACAGATGGATCCCCCAATTTTAATACCATGAGACCACCATAGAATCCCATTGCAATCGAAGTTTCTGAATATTCCTTGGAAGATTTAGTGTTATATGAGAGAAGAAAGGTTCTTATAAATGAGAGGTAATGGCTCGTCCCTCATCGTTCTCTCTTGCTACAGCTGACAGAGGCAACAGCAGTGTCTGCCCCGGCTCCCTCTGCTCCTGGAGAAGAAGCCAAAGAGGAGCAAAATGAGCAGCATGACCATGAGGCTCCAGCAGTAGTCACAGCAGAGCCTGACACTTCTGTGAGTGCCAGTTCTGGGTGGTGCTGTCTATAGTGCAAGACAGAGCAGCAAATTTTCCTTTTGTATTTCAGAGTTTCAAGAATTAGTAAGTCAGTTACAGAATTAGATCATTGCTACCTGATAGTAGGCAGGGTGGAATACCTAATTCAGAGTAATTTGCATTATAGGTGGATTAGCCAATCTTAAAACGATGAGAGTGCATTGGAATCCCATTGCAATTAAAATTTCCCAATTTTCCTTGGAAGAAATGATGGTAGATGTGAGAATATAGAAGGTTATAAATGTTAGGTAACGGCCTGCCCCGCATGCTTCTCGCCACAGATGACAGAGACAGCAGCAGTGTCTGCTCTGGCTCCCTCTCCTCCTGGAGAAGAAGCCAGAGAGGAGCCAATTGAGGACTGTGACCACGAGGCTCCATCAGGGGTCACAGCAGAGCCTGACACTTCAGAGCCAGTAAGTGCCAGTTGTGGGTGGTGCTGTCTTTAGTGCAAGGCAGAGCTGCAAGTTTCTGAGCAGCCAGCTCTTGCTGTTGCTGCCTGAGGATGCTGAGTGCTGGAGTCCTGCCAGGAGCCAGCGATTTCCTGCAGGCAGTGACCACCAGGCAGAAATTGGCCTTGGACCTGTCA